CTACCATCTATATCTGAAGATGAGATGGAGAGATCGGTCTCATCACTGAAGAACACTGTGGTTATCGAGTTGGCTTTGAAATTGTACAGAAGACTGGACTGCTTGAGCGATCCACAATTTTCTCACAGCCGGCTTCATCTGCCATGCATCACATTCCCTGTCACGGCAGTCAGACGGAGACTCGTTGAACACGAGGAGACCCATTTGACGTATGAAGTCAAGACAGACGGGCTTCATGACGTGAAGATTACCACGGAAGAGAAGTTACCTCAGTTCTCACGAGGAAGACCCACTCGACAGTCATTCTTACTCGTCCGTCCCTGGGATCCTCGTCTCCTTGGGCTACCCGACTTTTTAGACGACGTGCAGAGCGTAGATGATTGGAGCGAGCTGGAATCACCATCATCATGTTCGTCCCCTGAAGAACAGTGGTCGGTCCGCTCGGAATCTCACTCACAAGCGTTACGATTACTGTTTCGCCTTGGACAGCCTTTCACCGCATTTTTGCTAGCACAGCAACGCGGTGGAGAATACAAGAGAATCGCGTCAGATCGTCATATTATTGCACAAGTCCCAGACGTGGCTTCCGTTCACCACATGATGGACGTCAGGATGTTGGAGATATTGTAACTCTTAGAGCATGATATATACCCAGAATATAGTCCAGACGCATATAATGTAGAACCCATATTTTTAATGTTTTTATGGACGTTAGGATATATTAGAGATCTTGTAACTGTACGAGCATGATATTTACCCGCAGAATATATTTCAGGATAAACCAGACATATATATAGAACCAATGTTTTTTATGTTATATATGCACATTTACCTATCTACTGCATGCGACACTGCCGTGGAAGAAGTCTGTGCACATAGGCCAAATGAAATTCTCTTGACCCTGGTTTCTGCGCCTTCAAGGTCAGCCCTGCCATTCGTAAATGTAACGGGAATGATGTCGGAATCGCGTCACTGAACAATCGGTCCGCAATCTAATTGGCAATGAACAAACAGCAACTTGAAGCTCTGTTGGAGTTGCCGACATAGGAAGCGAGGTTCTTCGGCTGCAATGTGTATCTGTTACACGTACTATGAGAATTTGTATGACTTGGTGTCCTATGAAGGAGATATTACAAGACTTGAGCTGAGCAATTTTCACAGACCTGATATGCAAAGGGGTGTGAATACGTGTCTGTTTCCTGAACAAGGTGAGTAGGGAGGAATAACACGCTCCAAATGTGCCCGAATATATGCAGAACAACCATGATGGCCCGGGTGTTTAGCGCGGTGTGTTTGGCCCAATATGAAAAGCTGCAGCAATGAGCCTGGGCCCTGCTGCAAGTTTGGACCAAAGGCATAGCCTCATAGTAATGGCGTCTGATAAGACATGGCGATCATGTGTAATAGGCACCTGTTAAGGTACCAAGTACTATTAGTACGCACTCCCTCTGATGCCATTGGTAGCACATGTATAGCGGTGCAGAATGTCCTATTGGGAGTATTTTAGCTATGAATGATATGTATATGCAAGCACGGGAAGGAGCAAGGTGAGGCTTGTGCTGGCTTCGGGAGGTCTTCTTATTACGTTCTTACGTTGCACTGCTGGCACCTATTACTAGTTTCGCCACAGTTAAGACACCCGAACGGTGGCAGAGTAGTGACAGGGCACTGCACACCACAAATTAGCGCTGTGAAATATTATAAAAACGGGAACTGTTGTTCAGCATAAAGCTTCACAAGGCATGAAAAGTCCCTACAGCAAGTCCACCGACGCTTAACCGCTCTCACCATCAACCTAGAACTGAATGGTGAATGTAGCTCAACCCATCGTCCAAATGACCACGCCAGTTCGAGTGGCTGCAGCTCACGAACACACTATATATGCAGTTGCAGTCTTTCCCGATGAACGACGAGTGGTAACGGCCTTGGGAGATAATACACTTCGTGTGTGGGACTTGAAAGGCGATGGTGCGGTGAAGAAAATGGAAGGTCATCGCGGCTGGGTGTGGGCAGTTGCGGTATCTCGAGATGAGAGATTCATAGCAAGCGGTGATCACAACGGAGAACTTATTATCTGGAACGTCGACACTGGAGAATCACTCACCCAAATCATCAAAGCCCATTCCGCAGCAATCTACTCGCTGGACTTTTCTCGAGATGGAGAAGTGCTGGCAACTGGTTCAGTGGACAAAACTACGAAGTTGTGGAGTACAAAATCGTGGAAGCAGCAAGGAAAACCAATCGATTGCGGTGATTATGTCCAATGCATTCGGTATTCCCCGTCCAGCGAACATCTTGCCATCGCAACATCCAGGGAGATCCAAATATGGAATCCAAATAGCAAGGAACAACTCAAAACCTTCCAGGCCCACGCTGCGTTCAATTCAGCATGGAATTACTCGCTTTCATGGGCGTCTGATGGCAGACGGTTGCTCACAGCGGGCTCCTATCTAGATCCCACTATACGGGAGTGGGATACATCAACGTGGGAACAGGTCGGCCATGCCTACAATAATACTAGTCCTAGTAAGGGCATCAATACCCTGGTCGTGAACCCTACTGGCACCCTTGTCGCCTCCACATCTTATGATCACTATGTCCGCCTCTGGCGGCTGTCGGATCGACGAATCATCGCCTCGTTCAAGCACTCTCATACAGTGTGCTGTGTCACCTTCTCCGCCGATGGCAAGTACATCCTCAGCGGAGGTCTTGACAAGAATATCTCTCAGTGGGCAGTGCCATCGTTTGATTCCAAGGCATGTTTTAATTCTTCACTCTCGGCAATGCAAAAACCATATTTTCCGCAGATCCTCGACATGGACTCGACAACCCGCGATGCATGCATAAACGGGGACTTAGATACTGCTGAAGCACTGCTAACACAACAGATTGATGCTGACAATAACGACCACAACGCGTATGCCAATCGCTCATTTGTTAGGGCGCGAAAAGCAGACTGGGACCGCGCCCTCGATGATGCACTCAAGGTGAGATACGCTATTGGACACCGCTATAACATAGGCTGAACTATGGTAACTTAGTCCGTTGTGATGCCCTCCTTGACAGGGTATCTCTCCAGCGGCATCGCATATTGCGGAAAACAGGAGTTCCAGGATGCAACGGAAGGGTTTAACCTTGCGACCATGTTCACGGATGGACATTCGAAGACCATCCTTCTTTTAATAAAGGCAGGTCAAATTTTTCTCCCATATTCCTGATTCATCATGGTTTTCAGGCCATTGCACTATTCAACGCAAAGCAGCATCGCGAAGTAATACCCCGCATTCAACAGCCTCCAGACGCTTCTCCTAATGCTGATAGTCTTGCTTGCAGTATCGTGGAAGTAAGTATTGCCGACTCAATCCAGTTCTCGAATGATATTTATCAAAACTTTACATAAGGTTTATCTAGATAACTTGAGTGGCGCGGGTCGTAACGGAGATGCGAGAGACTTCGCTGTCAACACCGTCGCTGGCTCATCTGAATCCGCCATTTGGTCTACCATTTGTTCTGAATATGAGGACCTTACTGTGGTGCGTAAATATGATGCAAGTGGAAATCCTGTCATTGCCTAATTCCGTGATCTATCCAGCTCTTCGGATGGGACCTCAAGTCAGTGTGGCAAATTGCAAACCAGAGACGGTGCGATGCACTCCTGCAGGCAGGTGGAATTAGAGAAGCCCTCGAATCGTACCGATATATGATGGATATGAGTGATGAAGCTACAAAGGCTAGCTGCCTTGCTTGGTCCACTGGCAAGTCTTCATCAATGAATGTCATCGGGCCCATATCTCACCTGCATTTTCACTCAGCATTCAAGCAAGCCTGCAGAGAGCGTTATGCTGCCAAAGGATTTACTGACATCGTTGCAAGTGGAGATGCCGCCTTCGAGGCGAACAATTATGACGAGGCTATTGAGCTATACTCGGCGGCAATCGACCTGGATTTAGCCAGCGATGCCATCTTCACAAACCGCAGTAAGGTAAAGTTGAAACAAAGGCTATGGGAGGATGCACTTCTCGATGCACAAGAGGTACGATGGCATCTATCATTTCGTAGTCAACGCTCATCTTGGTGATAGGTCATTAAACTGAGTCCCTCTAATGGATACCGAGTGAAGCATGCAGTGCTTCATGCCGCACAACACTATGATGAAGCTATCGAAGCCTTCCAAGTCACACTCACCGAGTTGGACAATCCTCCCGACGCGCGACAACAAGGTAAGCTTTGAACAACACATCCTCATACTCAAGATGCTTGACCCTTTCTTCAGAGCTGCGTCAGCAGTATGTCTCTCGATCTGACGTAGAATCGAATATTCAAAAGGTCATTCGTGCTCGCATGGAACACACCCCGATTCGTGTACTTGACACTTCCACCGGTCGCTTATGCGAACGAAAGGCACAAATAGAGGCCTTCGAGAGGAGCACGGAGTACAAGGAACTCCTATCATCAATAACGAAGCGCGCGGACCTTCGAATGGAGCGCATCGAAGAGGTGGTGAAGAAGTACTTTGATTATGTCATGTTGTCACATAGGTGGGAAGGGACGGAGCCGCTACTGTGTGACATCCGGGGCAACAGCGTGTACGAGTTGGAGTCGGTCGGCAGTGTCAAGAAGTTGCAGCGGTTCTGCGAAACTGCTCGTGATGCTGGCTGCCGCTGGGCGTGGAGCGATACATGCTGCATAAACAAGGAAGACACCGTGGAGCTCCCAGAATCCATCACCTCCATGTTTCGCTGGTACCATCACTCAGCCCTCACAATCGTCTACCTATCTGACGTCTCGCCTTCGTCGGGATTTGGCGCACTCCTCCGCAGTGTCTGGATCACCCGAGGATGGACACTCCAAGAATTCCTGGCTCCCAACATAATTCTCTTCTACCGAAATAATTGGACCCCGTATCTTGATGATCACTCTAACAACCACAAAGAGTTTATCATGCAAGAGTTGGAGAATGTTACGGGAATTGATTCACGGTTTCACGTCACCTTCCGTCCTGGAATGAGGGATCCCCGCGAGAAACTCGTATGGGCATCGAAGCGCTTCACAGAGAAGCCAGAAGACGTTGCATACTCATTATTTGGTATCTTCGGCGTTCACTTACCCGTAATCTATGGCGAGACCAAACAGAAGGCGCTCGGTCGGCTCTTGGAGAAGATTGTTGCCCAGTCGCGTGACATCAGCGTCCTGGACTGGGTTGGCAAATCATCCGAATTCAATAGCTGTCTGCCAGCCGATATCACGTCGTACGGATCGACAGTCGTGTTGCCATGCCCGTCTGAAGATGAGATTCAGGCATCTATTGTGTCGCTGCAAGTCGCTGTGGACGGAACGGTGGCTTTAGAATTGCATGACAAGCTTAACGGCACAAACCACCCCGGTTTCTCAAACCAGAGGTTACATCTGCCTTGTATCGTGTTCCGTGTCACTCAAATCAAGGGGAGGCGCCATCAACTTGAAGATGGAGAGATATATTTCACGTATGACGTGAAGGCAAATGGGCTTCGTGACCTGCCCACCATCACCACAAGCAAAAGGCTGCCGTTCTTGCAAGCAAGACCCGCTGCACAGAAATTCTTACTCGTCCGTCCCTGGGACCGTCGTCTCCTCGAACTACCTGACTTTTCGGACGATGCCGAAAGCATGGACGATTTATCCCCTTCTCCATCCCCGTCAGATTCGCATGGCGGGTTCTTTGAAGAGCACGAGTCGCTTGATTCTGGACGAACGTTACGATTGATTGCTCGCCTCAAACGGCCTTTCAGGGCATTCTTGCTAGCGCAGCAATACGGCGAACAATACACGAGAATCATATCAGAACATGATATTATTGCAGAAATCCAAGAAACGACTTCCGAGTCTATTCGCGACATCATAGACTGCGTCAAGACAGTAGAGGTGGTGTAACTTTAAAGAATAAAGGAATTTTCAGATGTCCTTTCCTTGAACATTTCGGACGTTTCAAATTACTTATACATATTTATATGTACATTCATATACCCCTTATCTACCTTATGATGACCTTGGAGCGGCGATCTAACATCGTGATTCGCGCGAATGGATTGAACGTGATCACCAGTTTCTATGATAGCGAGTGAACATACCGGATCCCCTGCGCTGCGCATCATGTTCCCATATTGAGCTGACATCCATATCAATGGCACCATGCCAGATAACATGTCGTAGGAGTGTCCATGCATCATTGGCCTGTGCTGGTGAGATGGAGTAGCAAGCTGCGGCGAAGAAGGTATTGAATACATGAGACAACACAGGCGACGGCGAAGAAGTTTGAGCTTCAGCAGGTTGTGATATGAGGATGACATCGTCCTTGAGACTAGTTGCAAGATTAATGAGGCGAGAAAGAGCGGTAAGGGAGACATATTCACCTGAAGAGATGAATGGGGTCCATGTCTTACTAGGGTGTCTAAGGAAACACAAGGCAAGTCAATGGGGTGAAGCAATATAGAAACGCACGATATACGCACCTCTGCAGCTCAAAGAAAGACAGCCACAATCCCTCCAAAGTCTACCTTGACCGTGCTCTACATCTTCAGCATCCAGCAAGATATCGAAGCTCGTTTCCAGCACCGCACGTTGTTGAAGATCATGAGAGCGGCGCAACCGCAGTCGCAGATTTTCCCGATAGCCAACGTATGATGACAAGCTCGTATGACAAGACGCTTGAGTTGTTTGTGGGACTTGAAGACAGGTGTTTTGTGGAGGGGCATCCGAGCAGTGAGATGCGGCCATTAGCAGTGTGGTGATGGTGACGAGATTCCGAGGCTGTACCACGAAATTTGGTTGCATCTTATGCACACAATGATCTGGGAGTCTGTTGGATGGAGAAGTCATATTGCAGTAAGCTATATACATGCGTTCGAAGGAGTAACGCGGTGATAAGCTGGAGTAGCTGCTAGATACGAAAAACAACCGTATCCATGCAGGATAGACAGTCAGATTCGAGCGCTGGAAAGCACGGACTGCTGGACTTGATGTGATGGGATACATTCTGAAAGCTGCGAAGACAAGAGTCGGACGCATGTATGCACCGCAGATGTGCATAGTACTGTCGAGGACAGCGGGTATGACAACAGGGTGGGTGCATTACGTTGATGGAGGCGTGGGCACAAACAGCCTTACTAGATGTCCTAGGCGTCTATTGAAATGAGACAAGCTATGAAGCACCATAAAACGCACCATACACCCTCTGCAGCTTAGAGAAAGACATAATCCCTCCAAAGTTTAGCCTCGTCCGTATTCCATACCATCAATATCGAGTAAAATGTCGGAGCTCATTACAATCACCACTTCCCTGCGATGGTTCAAAGGCCATGAAAAATGCATAAATGCAGTCGCAGATAAACGTCGGATGGTTACGGGCTCGGACGACAAGACGCTTCGTCTGTGGGACCTCAAGACAGCTGTTTCGTTGAAGAAGATGGAAGGGCATCGCAATCCGGTGTGGAGATTGGCGGTATCACGAGATGGGCAATTGATAGCAAGCAGTGATAATGCTCATTATGGTGGAGAGGTCATCGTCTGGCACGGAGAAACTGGCGAATTACTCACCAAAATAAAAGCACACTCCAATTATACCTCCTCGCTGGATTTTTCTCCCGATGGAACAGTGCTGGCCACTGGTTCATTGTTCGATGAAATGACGAAACTGTGGAATACCAAAACCTGGCAGCTGCAAGGAAATCCAATCGAGTGTCAATTTGTCAACTGTGTACGGCATTCACCGTCAGGAGAACTTCTTGTCATCACAACAAATGAGGATATTCAAATTTACAATTCAGGCACAAGGAAGCTCGTCACATCATTCAAGGGTCACAAATCATTCAACTCGTCACTCGCGTGGACGCCCGATGGCACACGCCTTCTCACAGGTGGCAATAGTGAAGATCCTACTGTACGCGAATGGGATACGACAACCTGGAAGCAGGTCGGTGATCCCTGGACGGGCCACACCAATGAAATCAATTCCATTGCCGTTCATCCTGCTGGCACACTCGTTGCATCTACATCTAGTGACAGCCACACCCGTCTCTGGCAGCTCTCCGACCGACAAACCATTGCTGTCTTCAAGCGCTCGTTCGCCACGAATTGCGTCACTTTCTCTGTGGACGGCAATCACATCTTCAGTGGAGGTTACCATAGGATGATCTCAGAGTGGACAGTACCTCAGGGTATACATCCAAAGGCATGTTTCCGTCTCTGACTCATATACCAAAAATCGAGCATGCTTCTTGCAGACTATGGCCACCACAACAGTCCGCGATGCATGCATAGATGGTGACTTATCTACTGACGAAGAACTACTCGTGCAAGATATCAATGCCGATGCGAACAACCGTCCTCCCTACGTCCATCGCTCAAAGGCATGTTTCCGTTCTTGACTCATATATGCCACAATTAGAGCATGTTTCGTGCAGGTCCTAGCCATCACGACCTCCCGTATTGCATGTCTAAATGGAGACTTATCTACCGCCGAAAAACTACTCACTCAAGACATCAACACCAGTCAGAACAACCATACTTCCTACGCCCATCGGTCATTCGTCATGGCACGAAAATACGACTGGGACCGTGCCCTTCTGGACGCGATCAAGGTGAGAATCATCGCCGCCTTATACAGGGCTAACTCGACGGTGACATAGTCCATCAGCATTCAGCCCTCATTGACGGGGTATATCTCCAAGGGCATTGCCCTCTGTGGAAAAGGCCTCGTGCTGGACGCGAGGGCAGCATTTGATGTTGCATCCATGTACACGGACCAGGATTCGGAAATTACTCATTTTCTGCTATTGATCAAGGTATGGTACATTTGCCTCGCATACTCTTCCCTTCATCACGTATTTCAGGCCATCGCGCTCTTCAATGCAGATCAACATGACGAGGCAAACCTGCTCCTCACAGAGCTCGCTACCGGTTGTCCGAATACCGATGCTCTCGTACATGATATCGTGCAAGTAAGTGTCATCCATGCTTGGTCATATGCATCAACCCTCATCTTTACAACTCGCACATTAGGCATATCTACACGTTCAACTCGGGATCAAAGCCTTGGATGGCGCACGCTACGACGAAGCCACCGACTATATCACTGCCGCTCTCGACTCTCGCAATTCATCATCGAAATCGGACATTCATGAAGTATATGAAGATTTGGTGGTGGTACGTCAAGATGATGCCTATATGACGCTTTTCATAACTGAATCTTTTGTTCAGCTCTTTGGCTGGGACCTGAAGTCGTTGTGGCAAACAGCACACCATAGACTCTGTGATGCACTCCTTCGGGCGGGTAAACTTCAAGACGCCGTGAAATCATACCAACACATAATGACTTCAAGTGACGAAATGATCAAAGCCGACTGCCTTGATTGGTCCAACGGCGAGTCTAGAACCCGTAATGTCGTGCAGGCGACAATCCTCACCTGTATTCTTCTCAGATTTCAAACAGCAATGTAGCGCACTCTGCGCTGCCAACGGAAATACTGCCTTCGCTGCAAGCGATTACGACAAGGCTATTGATCTATACTTGATGGCGATCGACCTGGATTATGCATCCGATGTCGTCTTTGCAAATCGCAGCGAGGCAAAGTTAAGTAAAATGCTGTGGGAAGATGCGCTCCTCGACGCGCGAAATGTGCGATGGCATCCACGTTTTCTCAGCCCATGTTGACTTCGGCGATGCATAGGTCACTGAACTCAATCCTTCGTCTCATATTGGGCACCAGTTGTCACACTTAGCGCTGCGTGGCGCGCATCGTCACGATGAAGCCATCGAGGCCTTCACAATCATGTTGTCCAAGTTGGACGATGCTCCCGAAGCTCAGATACGAGGTAAGCCATGGAACATTGCTACCTCCTCTCGAAATGCCTATTTTGTTCTGCAGATCTGCATCAGCAGTACGTCTGTCCATCGGAAGCAGAAGATACTATTCGAAGAGCGGTTTGGATTGAACTCAGCAATGCCCCCCTTCGTCTGCTCAACACCTCTACGGGGATTCTGTGCGACCGAGAAGCACAACTGAACTCCTTCAAAACAAGTCCAGAATACAAGGAGCTTTTGTCATCCATCACGAAGCGTTCGGATCTCCAGATGGAATGCATCAAGGAGGTGGTGGCGATGCACTTCCGGAGCGTTTTGCTATCGCATAGGTGGGAAGAGACGGAGGCGCTGCTGCACCACATCCAGGACAAAGTGGTGTACGAGCTGGATGGACTTAATGGCACCGCGAAACTGCAGTCGTTCTGCAAAATCGCTCGTGATGCGGGATATTTCTGGGCGTGGATGGACACATGCTGCATCGATAAAAGCAACAACGTCGAGCTTCAAGAATCGGTCAATTCCATGTTCGTCTGGTACAGCCACTCAGCGCTCACCATAGTCTACCTATCCGATGTCCTTACTTCATCCCAGTCCGGCACACTGGCGAGTAGTGTTTGGAACGAGCGAGGATGGACCTTTCAAGAACTTGTCGCTCCGAAAGTCGTTATATTTTATCAGAAGGACTGGTCATTATATCAGGACGATCGCTCTCCCAACCACAAAGAGTCCCCAGCAATCATGAAGGAGTTGGAGGGTGCGACGGGAATAGATGCACAGGCCCTGATCTCCTTCCGTCCAGGGATGAGAGACGCTCGAGAGAAACTGCGATGGGCATCAAAACGTGTCACCACAATGCAGGAAGACATTGCGTACTCGTTGTTTGGTATCTTCGGCGTCCACCTGCCTGTAATCTATGGCGAGAAGAAGCAAAATGCGCTCGGGAGGCTCCTGCAAGAGATCGTGGCTAGATCGGGCGACATCACTTCGCTGGACTGGGTCGGACAATCGTCCGAGTTCAATAGTTGCCTTCCGGCCGACATCATCTCATATGCGGCCCCGCCATGCTCCCTACCATCATTGTCTGAAGATGAGATTCAGACAGCGGTCTCTTCGTTGCGAAACATTGTGCCTGTGGATTCAGCTTCGAAGTTGTATAACATGCTCGAGAACATGAATGCTCCCCTCTTCGCCAACTGCAGACTCCGTCTGCCTTGCATCGCATTCCGTGTCACGGAAGTCAAACGAAGGCGGGGTCCCACTGCTCATTCCACGTATGGAGTGAAAGCAGATGGGCTTCAAGACTTGCTGATCATCACAGACGAGACCCTAATTCAATTCTCGCGCGCAAGGCCCACTCAGCAGACGTTCTTTCTTGTCCGTCCATGGGACCGTCGTCTCCTCGGGCTGCCTGATTTTTCAGAGCAGCTCACCTTTGCAGACGAAGGGGAGAGCGTAGGGGATTGGTCCGAGTCCCAGTCTGAATTGGACGGCGCTGACGAGTCGTCCATCAACTCACATGGAGAAGAGGAGTTGTCAGTTGACTCGGATGTTCACTCACGATCATTGCGTTTGATAGTTCACCTTGGGCAGGCTTTCCGCGCACTTTTGGTAGCGCAGCAACACGTTGGAGAATACAAGAGGGTCGCGTCGGACCAATATATCATTGCGCAGGTGAAAAACCCGGCTTCGATTGACATCATGAACATCAGGACCCTAGACATATTGTAGCTGAATGGTTTTTATAACACGCTGACGATCACATTATCATAGCCTCGTATATCATATATACCCTGGAAATGACACTCGCAGATACAAGATTTCAAAATTTGACATGCAGAGGACGATATCGTGTGTCTACATTAGAGCCAACATGTGCGCTTGGACCGCGTTGAGTAACACATCCGGTTGTTTAGATTCGTGGCTATTGCGAAACCGCGTCCTGAAAGCAACTAAGTACATAGTTCGTTTGCAATAGAGCATACACGATTATTCGTATGCAGTGGCAGGCTGTAATCTAGTGTAGTTGTAATCCGGCGTATTCTCTGGTGCATAGATCAGGCTTGGGTTATCAATTGAATATTACTGTCTGGACGCAAGACTCTGCCATCTACTGAAACGAGGGAGGTTGACACAGTGAGACACCATAGAATGCACAATACACACACCGAGAAAATAGAAACAACTGGCCAGCCTGTGACAGCGTACATAGGTATGCAAAAAAGATCTAGCAAATATGTCATGAATAAACAGACGGACTTTGAAAAATACCCACGGAAACTGAACCGTCACCAATCATCGATGTCATCCATCATACTTAACTTCTCGTACACCGGAGCGATGCACCTCCATTATCTTCAATACAACACCATCTTCTAAGTCCCACAGATGAAGCGTCTGTTGTACGAGGCCGTCGCCATACAGCGTCCATCGCAGCTGCACAGATACTATTTTCATGTCCTTCAAAGTTCAAATGTTTGATCGGGGGTGGTGATTCGAATGGCAAGTTGTTCTATTAAGTCCGTCATTCTGCTCGAGGTGGATGTTGTTGAGCACGACTTGCCGGGGAGCTTGTGGGTGTCTTGATCCAAGTTTTAGAGGTGCGTATACCTGGCCTTTTTGTGCTTCTTCACAGCCTCAACCTGCATCATTAGACGCCCAGGACACGAGGCACTCAGACGCTGCAAAGCTCGAGTACCTCTATCATTCTCATGGTTACAATACCAAGGTTTTAGACCAATCATTTTGTTCCTGACTTGTTTTCTCCAAAAACTGGTCCCTGCCTTCGATTTTCGGATGAAAGTGCGTGCTCTATGAGAGTCCAGGAATTTTGGCCTCCCATGGGGCACGCCGTTTCTGGCAGGAGCCCCTTCTTTTCGCTGCAGGACAGTGCCCCATGAAAAATTGTGTCCTGGTGGACTCATGGCAGTGCGATTTTAGTTGTTTTCACGATGACGGCACACGTTTCACGCTTACCCAATTCGATAGTATATTGCTCGGATGTCTAATCCAGCTACCCCACGCGCTCATCTCCGTTCACGCCGGGTTCCTCGCTCCCCATAGACCTCCGCACATCGCCGACCACGACGAGCGCGCCCTCTGGAGTCAGTGCCAAGCCTGCGTGCCCCGGGGCACGCGCTTAATCGTCCTCCCTGCCATGCCCCCGTGCCCCACGACAACGAAGCAATTGAATGTGTGAAATTCCATAATTCATTTCCTGGGGAGTCGGGGACTGGCGTGACCGAGTGGCGGTAGTAAGCTAAGTAGTCAGATTACCGCGTGCGTGCTTATCAAACAGCGTAGTAAGCCAAGTAGTCAGCCCATACGCTATCGGCCTCTTATTTGTGAAGACTGGCCTCGTTATTTGAAACCATGTCACTATAAATCCAGGGTCAGACTCGCTCTATTCATCCAGCTACCCCACCATGTCCATCCCTGCATTCGATTCCACCACCTACTCCATCTACACCCAATCCCCCAATCCATCCTGGACGTATGGTCAGAGAGTCGACATCACTCCTGCTGGTAAAGACTGGATTGCAGGCGAATCTGCAGGGTGGAAAGTTTATAACACGTCAGAAACGGACAAGATGTACGTACCCTCGACCTGCTGTTCAGCCGCAATCGTGACCGCGATCGACAGTGAGTTGTACAAGCTCTTGCTTTCAGGTGTCGTACCATGCCCCATCGCATGCGTGTCCACAATCAGCGAGGATGGCATCGAGAACCTGGCACCGTTCAGGTAAGACACGCTTCCAGTTTGTAACGTGTTTCATATGCTTACATGGGTTGCGTCTACCAGTTGGTTTAACACAGTGAGCAATACAACAAACAAGATGATGTCTCTTTACATAATGATTCAATAACCTCTTGCAATAGGTCACGAACTACCCGCCTGTCATCTCATTCGCAATCAACAACAACCCTGCGGCGGGCCGCCTTAAAGACACGGTCACGAACGTGAAGAACGGCCAAGGATTCACCGTGAACATCATCAGCGAGGCATTCGTCGAGAATGCAAATGCAACTGCTATAAACACTCCTCCCGGCTTCGACGAGTGGACTCTCAGTGGTCTGACAAAGGAGAAATGCGTACGCGTGCACGTTCATGATACGATACATGCGCTGACGACGTGCTCAGGTGCAAATAAAAGCCTCCCGCATCAAGGAAAGCGCTTTTAGCATGGAATGCGAGGTAATTTCATTTCATGCCAAGCCCGCTCGTTCGCTGACAACGTCGCCTCCCAACAGCTCTACCAATCAATAGATATCACTCACCCAGTCACAGGCGAGCACACCGGCACGCTCATCCTCGCGCACGTCAAGTACATCCACGCCCGCAAAGATGTGCTCACAGACAAAGGCGTCATCGACCTCGCAAAGTTCAGACCCGTCGCGTGTTTGGGAGACATCTCATATGCCCGGGTTGGAGATGCATACAGGATCGCCCGTCCATCATGGACGCAGGAGGAGGCGAAGATACAGGAAGCATTGATGACTCCTGCGTCCCTGTGAAATAGAATGAAGGAGCCATGTTTTGGTAAGATATACTATAGATTATTGGTGCAATAGTATAGTAGTAATAGATAATTAGTGCGTAATCGAGGGTTTCCTATCCCTGAACTGGTAGACCTTCCTTACGGCGCCGTTCGACTTTCAAAACAGACAACAAGTATAAGGAATTAGGATGCTGACGATACGGCGCACCCATCATTGCACCTGATTCGTAGTAGCATGATATTATCAGTGCGAGATGATTTATACGGACCGTCTTGGTCTAGGAAGGGGAGCCAGCACATCTTGCTCTGAAAGGTCGTGGATACAGCGGGACATATCCGAGTGCGAATGAAGTGTAATCTGCCGTAGACTCACACTGACAAGCATCATGATGTCCAAGATGGAAAGATACCCCATGACTAGTACGAGCCATACGTCGACCACGAACTCGGAGGGGAGTCCCATGTTGGCTGGCTGGTACCACAAACATGGGTATCCGAGTCATTGGTGAGTAAGGAACTCGGTCCTGCTGAACAATTTCAGCAATTGGCAGACCCTTGTTGAATGTCAAACGGTGACGAAATGATACCCGGCATCGCGGCACGCCTTCCTTCGATCTATTTTCACATCGGGGTGAACGATATTTAAAAGAGGTTTATATGTTGTACAAAATGTGAAGACAATATTTAATATTTAAACTAACATAAAGATGGGTGCACGACTTCAAATTTTGGTGGTGTTTTGTGTGTAATCCAAAATATCAAATATTCACAACCATATTCCCACAGACAATATGTCAACAAACATAAGAAATATAGTCAGATTTTTCATGTCTGCTTCAACTTAAAGTTCAATTTCCATGTAAAACTTTGGAGAAAACTTGAAGTTTTACAGATGACATGACATTAAAACTCGATTTAAATGTCAAGCTTTGGCAAAACTTCAAGTTTTCTCCAAAGTTTTATGTAAGAATCAAACTTTAAATTGAAGCAGACATGGAAAATCTGATTATATTTATTATATTTGTTGACATATTGTCTGTGGGAATATGGTTGTGAATATTTGATATTTTGGATGACACACAAAACACCACCAAAATTTGAAGTCGTGCACCCATCTTTATGTCAGTTTAAATATTAAATATTGTCTTCACATTTTGTACAACATATAAACCTCTTTTAAATATCGTTCACCCCGATGTGTTTGGAATGATCACCCTTGAGCGTCTGATAAGACACGGGAATTACTACGGACGAGAATGATTGTGTGTAACGTGGAGCAAGACATCCACTTGCTCACAGCAAGCCTACTTCAACGGTGCTCAACACCATCAATATCCGACTGAATGGCAGAAGGAGTACAGCCGTTCGTTCTGATTACCATACCTGTGGGAGCTTTCGAAGCTCGTGAATGCGCCGTATCTGCAACCGCAGTCCCCGATACTCGCGAATGTGCTGTATCTGTAGCTGCAGTCTTCCCCGATAGACGACGTATGGTGACTGGCTTGGGAGATCGTACGCTTTGTTTGTGGGACTTGAAGACTGGTGTTATGTTGAAGAAAATGGAGGGGCATCGTGCCTTGGTGGGGGCAGTGGCAGTATCGGGAGATGGGCAGTTGATAGCAAGCGGTGATACTAACGGAGAGCTCATTGCGTGGGACGGCAATACCGGTGAATCTCTCACTCAACCTCTCAAATTCCACTCCAAACAAATCGTGTCGCTGGACTTTTCTCCAACCGGCCCAGTACTAGCGAGTGGTTCATGGGACACCACGACAGGGCTCTGGAGCACAGAAACATGGCAGATGCAAGGGAATGCAATCGATTGTAGTGATTGTGTTCATTGTGTTCGGCATTCCCCGTCTGGAGAATATCTCGCCATCGCAACATCCTGGGATGTTCAAATATGGACTACAGGCAAGAGGGAATGCATCTCACAGTTAGAGAGTGACGCTGTGTCCAATCCAACCTGGAATTATTCACTTGCGTGGACACCTGATGGTACACGGTTGCTCTCAGGCTCTAATCCAGATCCCACCATACAGGAGTGGGATACATCAACGTGGGAGCAAGTCGGTGATCCCTTGAAGGGCCATACTGTGATCAACGCTATTACTGGGGACCCCACAGATAGCTTCGGAGCCTCTGCGTCCACGGACCACCCCCGACTCCAGCGCTTGCTGGATCGACGAACCATCGCCATTTTCAAGCACTCTGATGGCGTGTACTCTGACACTTACTCCACGTATGGCAAGCATATCCATGGTGAAGGTAAAGATAGGAAGTTATTGGATCGGCATTCGCCAATGTTGGAAGACTCTTTGGTCGATTCCAAGGTATGTTTTTACTATCGGCTTTTATCGTGGAATGTAAACATGGTTTACACAGATCCTCGTTATGAACACAGCAACCCGCAATGCATGTATAACTGGGGACTTGCACGCTGCTGAAGCGCTGCTAACGCAACGGATTGACGCTGACTGCAATGATCATCACGCCTATGCCAATCGCTCATTTGTTAGGGCGCGAAAAGCCGACTGGGACCATGCGCTTGATGATGCACTCAAGGTGATATACACTCTCCCATCACGATCCCTTAAGGCTAACTCACTTTGATGGTGGCATAGTCCATCGGCATTCAGGATTCCTTGTCAGGCTATATTTCCAAGGGTATCGCCCTCTGCGCAAAAATGCAAGCCCAGGACGCGATGGATGCATTTGACCTCGCGTCCATGTTTACGAACGAATATTCAAAGGCTACTCATATCCTCCTCCTGCTGATCAAGGCGCGTCGATATTTTCCCATGTTTCACCTTGCTTCATTAAGTTCAGGCAATTGCTTATTTCAATGCAAATCAACACGAGCACGCCATCATGCACATCCAAAGGTTGGCTAATGTTTGTCCCAAGGCAGACATTCCTGTCTGTAATATCGTGGAAGTGAGTGTCGTGCACTCTCAGACTCACGGTCGTTGCCACTGAACTTTTTGAACTTTCAATATCAGGCATACCTATGTCTCCAACTGGGGATAAATGCCTTTGATGGTGCCTATGAAAACGAAGCTGATGAACACTTCGCTATCATTATCAATACCATCGCTTCCACCCCTCAGTCAGCTATTCATTCTACATATGAGGACTTTGTCGTGGTATGTTGATACAATGCAACCGAAAAACTTGATGTTCAACTCCGCGATCTGTCTAGCTCTTTGGATGGAACCTCAAGGAACTGTGGCAAATTGCAAGCCAGAGACGGTGCGATGCGCTCCTCCGGGCAGGTATGCCTCGAGAAGCCCATGAATCGTATCGATATATGATGGATATGAGCGACGAAGCGACCAAGGCTAGCTGCCTTGATTGGTCCACTGGCAAGTATTCAGTCATATCACTAGACTACAGTTCTTACCTGCATTTAACATAGTTTTCAAGCAAAAATGTAGTGCACTCTATGCTGTCGACAGAGATGCTGCCCTTATAGCACGCGCAGATGATGCACTTGAAGCGAAGAATTACGACGAAGCTATTGAGGTATACTCGGCCGCAATCGACTTGGATTTTTCAACCGAGGCTATCGTTGCACACCGTAGTAAGGCCAGGTTGGAAGACGAGCTATGGGAGGATGCACTCCTCGATGCGCAAAAGGTACTATCGTATCTGTTACTCTATAGCTTATGTTCATTTACCTAGGTTATCGAACTCAACCCTTCCTCTTATCTCGGATATCAGTTAAAGCATGCGGCGATGCATGGTGCACAACACTATGATGAAGCCATCGAAGCTTTCCAAGTCATGCTATCCAAGTTGGACAATTCTGCCGACACTCAGTTACAAGGTAAGCCACGAAAAACACATATACCTCCAGACGGTTGAACGTTTCCACAGAGCTGCGCGAACAATATGTCAGTCCATCAGAGGTCAAGAATATGATTAGGATGGCCATTTTTGTAGAACTTGAAGACGCCCCACTTCGTCTACTTGACACATCCACTGGTCGTTTATGCGATCGAAATGCACAGATAAATGCCTTCCAGACAAGCGTGGAGTGCAAGGAGCTTCTGTCGTCCACAACGAAGCATACAGAATTCCACGCAGTGCGCATCCGAGGAGTGGTGGCGGTGTACTTCCGCTATGTCATGCTATCACATAGGTGGGAAGAGGAGGAGGCGTTGCTGCACGACATCCAGGACAAGGTTGTGTACAAGTTGACTCCCGTTTTCGGCGTCGCGAAGTTGCAGTCATTCTGTAAAACTGCTCGTACTGCGGGATACCGATGGGGGTGGATTGATACATGCTGTATCGACAAACGAAGCAATACCGAGATCCAAGAATCGGTCAACAGCATGTTTGTCTGGTATCGCCATTCAGCACTTACAATTGTTTATCTCTCGGATGTTCCGCCTTCGTCAAAACCGGGCGCACTGGCAAAGAGTGAATGGAACATGCGAGGATGGACCCTACCGGAATTCTTCGCCCCGAAAGTCATTCACTTCTACCAAAGTGATTGGACCCCGTATCTCAACGACCGCTCTCCCAACCACAAGGAGTCTCCCGCGATCATGCGGGAGTTGGAGAATGCGACAGGCATAGATGCACGAGACCTCATCACATTCCGTCCGGGGATGAGCAATGTCCGGGAGACACTCCAATGGGCGTCGGCGCGTGTCACCACGCTTCAGGAAGATGTCGCATACTCACTGTTTGGTATCTTCGGCGTCCATCTACCTGTCATTTATGGGGAGAAGAAGCAAAATGCACTTGGGAGACTCTTGCAGGAGATCGTGGCTCAGTCGGGCGACATCAGTGCCCTGGACTGGGTCGGACGACCATCCGAGTTCAATAGCTGTCTGCCGGCTGACCTCACTTCATACGAAGCTCCGCCATGCACCCTGCCATCTCTGTCCGAGGATGAAATTCAAACATCGATCTCCTCACTCCGACACATTGGGGCTGAGCATTTGGCATTGCAAATTTACGACCAACTTTACAACATGAGCTCGCCTCGTTTCGCGTACCGCAGACTGTATCTGCCATGCATCACATTCCGTGTCACAGAACTCAGACGGAGAGTCGGTATACACGAGGAGACCATCAGCTATGGGGTCAAGGCAGACGGACTTTGTGACCTGATGATCACCACGGAGGATAGGTTGACTCAGTTCTCACGAAGCAGACCCACTCGACAATCCTTCTTACTCGTCCGTCCCTGGTATCGTTATCTCCTCGAGCTGCCTGACCTTCCAGACGAGATGCAGAGCGTGGATAAATGGTGTGACTCTGAATCACAGTCATCACATTCATCACATTCATCCCATGGAGAACAGTGGTCGGATCGTCCGGAGTCTGACTCGCGTGCGTTACGATTACTGTTTCGTCTTGGACAACCTTTTGCCGCATTTTTGCTAGCGCAGCAACGCGGTGAAGAATACAAGAGAATTGCGTCAGACTGTGACATTATTGCACAAGTCAAAGACGTCACTTCTGTTCACGGTATGGACGTTAAGACGTTAGAGATACTGTAACTGTGCAGACATGTAAAGAGTTTCAAGTTTGCGGTAATTACCTGCAGAATATGATGTTTCAGGTCATGTACAGTTCAAGTGTAACTATATGCGGAACCAATGTTTTTTCTATGTAAAACAACGGAAATTTTGCGACACTGCTACTGAAGTCTGTGCACATGGGCCAAATGAAATTTATGGCGCTGGATTCGTTCAACTATTCAAACACATGAAATACACATACAGACACACGTCACACGCACACACAGTCATGCATTCACATACTAGGGGCCGGCGTTGCCGACTGATAACCTTGCTCCGGTTGTTCCCGCGAACGTATGGAAAGCGGGAGTGATCAGCTTCGTAACAGCTTCGCTAAGCGTGTTTGTTTGGCTTTTACCTGTCAGACCCCCAACCACTGCTTGAGAGAGACTTAATATTAATGTTTCTAGTGATATATTCAAGATGTATTGCTTGTCAAATTATGAGTCCTCCAATGGTTACAGATAGTAAATCAGGTGCTGATCGTACCTTAATGCAATGACAGCGCAATCTGTGACGGAATTCAAAACAACTCGAACGTTCAAGTTGACGAGTGCAGGATTGTGCTCCCAACATTATGACTGATCGTTCTCGGCGCACCAACCAGCATAAGCCATGTCGTGAGTGTTAAGCCTGAATCACTGCCAGTTTCACTTATTTTTGAGCGAGCATAGCTCCTGCCAGGGAAATACAAGATCTGGCTCAGTTTTATTTCAAGCTCAACATGAGTGATGTTGACATCGTGCACCACCTCAAAGACCACTATGACCAGGAGGAATATGGACTCAGGTTCGTGTCTTACATATGTCCAGTGCAACTACTTCAACTAATTTATCATGCTAGCGTTGTCAGCTTTCGTCGGATGCGAAATAGCTGGGGCTGGAAACGGACCAGGCAACAACAACATACTCTCGAGTCCATTGAACAGCATGTCCGGGAGATTCGACAACGATTTCCCCACCGAGGTGCCGAGGCCATCAGACGAGACCTGCGCCAGCAGTTCAGCTTTCACGTACCCCGGTGAGTTGCTGTCTACTTGCTAGTACTGTTCACTATAAATTAATGTTTGAACAGCGAACTGATTGCCAAGCTTCTCAAGATCACAGAGCCAACTGCTGTGGAAGCTAGGCGTCGTGGACGTCTCAAACGGAGGCGTTTTTGGTGTGCGGGGGTTAATGATGTCTGGCCCCAAGACCAGCATGACAAATGGCTGCGCTTTGGGCTATGGCTGCATATCAGCCTCGATCCATTCACCGGCTGGATTAATTGGCTGAAAGTTTGGTGGACCAACAAGAATCCACGCCTTATTGCTAAATACTACCTTGACTGTTGCCGAAAACTTGGAGGTATGTCACCAAGCCCCTCACATTGATCGGACATTGATCATGTCTTTTTTTTTGTGATCTCAGCTGTACCTTTGATCACTCAGAGCGATCCAGGCTCCGAAAATTTTGCTGTTGCCAATGCACAAACAATGATTCGGCACCGCCTAGATCCAGCACTCAACGGAACACTTCAGCACCACTGGATGCGAAAGCACCAGAACATCAAGCCCGAAATCATGTGGTCTGTGCTTCGCAGGGACTTTGCTCCAGGTTTCGAGAATATCCTGGAGGAAGGTGTCACTAGGGGACTATATGACATTCACAACACTCTGCAAAAGTATGCATCACTTCCTTGCATATGTATTCACTGACAATCTCCATCTACTATCTAGCTACGTGTTCCGCTGGCTTGCAATTCCATGGCTCCAGGCTGAGCTTGATGCATGGGCTCATCGTAGAAACCATAACGCTCCCCGCAGGGACAAAAATAAGATTCTTCCTCACGGCATTCCAGCAATCATTCGTGCGAAACCTCACGAATTCAATTCACTTGACTTCAAAGTATGTCGTCCATGACTGCAGCTCAACACTACTTACTCTTCTCAAGGTTCCAGTGCCAAGTGCGCTCTTTGATGAGGTCGAAGCAATTTATGCTCCCTCTGATCATCCTGTCTTCGATCTTGTCCCACCTTCATTTGAGCAACGCGCACAATATCTCTATACCTCACTCGGCAAACCGCAAGTATCGCCGGATTCGTTCTGGAATGTATATCAGATGTTACTGGCGCAGTTCCTTGCAATTGAAGGTGAAGATGACCTGACAGTCCTGCTTTCACAGGGAGTTACGGAACCTGAAGATGATGATGTTCTATTGCTTCCGAGCTTGCAGGACCTCCCTCAAAATGCTGGCTTAGTAGGACCGGCTGGCTATCAGTATATGGGAGGCATGGTGAACCCGCCAACACAAGCACTTCACGGTGTTCAGGACTGGGGATCACAAGGGGAGGATCAGGATGATGAAGATCAACCAGAGTTCGCAGAGTTCACGGATTCTGAGTCTGAGTCTGACAGCAGAAGAGACTGTAGCAGAAATGCCTAGATATACTTTTAGTAATACATTAAGGTTGTCAGCATCTCTCCACTGTAGTGCTGCCGCTGTCGAGGTGAGTCCAGCTCAAGCTAAATCTCCCACGGAAGCTTTAAACTCCGCTGGGACTGGCGAAAAGACTTAGTACCATCTATGTACATGTATGAATGTACGACTTGTTCAGCTCCGAACTGGAGGCGATACATACAGTGCGGCTTGGAAGCTGGCACGGACGCCAATGGTTCGGGAGTAGCAAGTTGTACTAGTACTGTGAGACGTACAAGTTCTCCAACTTGCCCCCCCAAAATTCGTGCAGGTGCAAACTCCCAACCCTAACCCTAAGCTTGATGGCCCGGTTGAATCATTGGTAAGTCCATCACGCTCTTGTTCCTTCGTTCACTCCTTTTCGTCAGCACACGCGCCACCCATCTTGACGCCATCAGACACGCTAACGCGTGTCCTCAGCCGGCACCCATCACCACCACCATGCGAACCACCAAACGCCACGTCACTGGCACCTTCTGTCGCGCCCTCGCCATTCGAACCACCATCGCCGGTACTATGCGCGAACGCCCAGCACACGTCAGCGAATGCTGACGTGGCTCGAATGGACGCGGACAACGAACGGACGCAAGAGGAACGAGTACGGCAAGGAGATGAAGAGAAGGGAGGAGGAGAAAGGAGGAATGAGGAGAGAAGAGGAAAATGAGCAGCGGGAGGAAGTGGAAGCAAGACGATTCGTTGAGGAGGTAAGCAGCCTCATACCGGGCCTCGCCATAGAACGGCCCAGCGCGTCACCACCACTTGCAAGCGCCACGTCACCCGCGCCCATACTGCGCCCACTACTTCGCCAGCGCCAACGCCTACACCACCGGCTTCTACCAGCGTCAGGTCACACTTCCTGTCCTTGTCCCTGCTCCTTGCGCCATAGACAGTCTCCAGTCTGAGGACGCAACTCGTCATTCCGCGCAGGAGGCCTTCCTGTCCTTGTCCCTGCTCCTTGCGCCATAGACAGTCCTGCCGCTTCAACGCCATTCCTTTGGGCACTCCTCTACCCTGTCATCAATCGCTCGCACGAATCAATTCCAGCAAAGACCGAGTCGACAGCAATATCACTCCACTCTTCTCTGAAAGACTTCGCCTTGTCAGTATTCAACCCAGACCCCACATCGGTTTCTATCTTTCAGGAGACCTCTACATCTGGGTTCCGCAGCACATCTTCCTTTTCGGAGAAGCTAAAGCTTTCCAAGGATGTCATCCTTCGTCCGACTTCTTCCCTTATGTCTCTTGAAGGAAGCACCAATTCACTATCTGTCGTTCCTAGTATGACATCCTCAAAGGCCCATGTGGCAGAGGCAGTGCCAACTCTGTCTTCGTCCGCACTCACGTCATCTACTCTTGGCCTGAGTTTCTTGCAGGACTATCTTCCCAAATTTGTGGACACGCATGCACCTGCTGTCCTAGCTGCTGTAGGACATGGAGCAGATCTGGGCTGAGTCGAGAGTAGGGGGGGTCGTTCAAAGAAGTAGTTTGCCGACCGTGTGTCTACGACAGGAATGCCAAAGTAACTAGTCTTTTGAAATATCATCGCGAGTTCCCAGAACCATGCTCTTTTCACCAAAGTCATCACTTTCGTCATCAGACTCTGAGTCTCTCTCGCTGTCAGCAACTTCTTCTGGTGTCTTATGGAACAATGGGGGTATTGGACGAGACCAGTCCCATGGCAATTTGAAAAATTCGCAAAACATGTTGCACTGATGTTTCTCCGCAAAAGATGAAAATGCAGATGCCAAGTTGCCATCTGCGAACAGGTGTCCGGAAAGATCACTGATAATTGCTGTCAGCCGCTCATTGAAAAGGATAGTAGTAGGGATGTCGATTTACGGAGAAGTCATAATTTGAGGATCAGTTAAAAGATTCCTTCCACCTGTCGAGAACGAATAAGCTATGTGTAGATATCCAAAATAAAGACGAGCCTTGAAAATCTGCAACGTAAGCAAGTTTCTTGGTCTTGATGTATTGGACGTGTTGTGCAAATGACAGGTACTGGGCAATTTCACTTGAATTGGCATCAAGGTGTGGCAGTGGGGAAGGCGAGTCATTGGATATATACTTTGTGAATTTCCCTTGCGTGGACTCGTCAATGAACTCTTCAATTAGATATGTTTTTGTAACACCAGCGTCCTCGATAGTGGCAAGAGCAATATGCACGAAGCGGATATTTGGAATCTTGAAGGGAGGTGTGCTGCGAGTCACTAGTTCTGTGGCAATATATTGCTGAACCCGGTCCATGAGTGCTCCTGCCCATATGCTGCATCTAATCTCTGGCTGCAGCAGCTGTAGTTGCCGAGAATCGGGATAAGGAAACCGCTTGGATTTGTCGGTCTGGTAGTAGCACTGCTTTAAGCAGATGCGAGTTGAATCAGATCCAGACGGTCCAAGGATAGCTTTGTCTAGAAAGCCGAATTGTGCTGCTTTGAATGCTCCATACTTCGGTTTGCTTCGTGGATCGAAAAAAAGAGTAGCCTGCATCGGGGGGGCAGTAGTATTTGTTACTATGTCAGAAGTGGTTGGATCAGTAATCAGAGCAGAGAGTGATATTGGGGGGATTATCCGCAGTAGTGCCTTGAACGTGCGAAGAGTGAGAAAGGGTAAGTTTGGTTGGGATATGGGAATAGCTTGCGCTTGAAGTGCACGGCGAAGTGCGCTAACATCCGGAGATACTGCAGCATCCAAGGTCCGAGGCTTTCGAGGGGGCGTGGATGGGACAGGAGGCTGTGTGCGATGCTAATGAGCATAAGGCTGGTACTAGAGTTCGAAAGAATGACTGACCGATGATAATTTGCGCTTGACAGGGTGAGGCGAACATTGGACGCCATTTTGCAAATTTTTTGATGGGGACACCGCAGATAGTACTAATGCAGGACTTGAAAGATGTTGGATGTCAGATGAACTTGCTGCTGTTGCGCGAGGTGTATCCTGGTTGATGTATGCTGTCAGTCATGCAAGGTACCAATAGTCCATGTTGAAAACGAACATCGCGAGACTTGGACTCAGCTACTTCCTCACCATTTCGCCTTTGCTCAGCGGCAAGGAACTTTGTATGTGGAATAATGAGGTGAAGTTCGATCCCCTTGCCAGCGTTGAACTGCTGCTTCGTGTTCCTGGTCTTGAGGAAGTGGGATGCTATGGCATTGATGTCTTCTCCAGATGGACGGGGAAGAATCTCCTCGAAACTACTAACAAGACGCAAACGTGCCTCTTCAAACGTAAAAGTAAGACCCATGGACCACTTGATGAACATGGGAAGTAGGGTGAGATACACCGAAGTTTTAAGGTCATTGGCACCAATACGGTAAGGGATATTGCTGATCGACTCGACTATATCCTATAGAAGATTCAGCAAAGTTGGTGAAGTTGAATTTGGAATTGTAGAGAGCAACACTTACAGATATTAGAGTTGGTTTTTTAGCCCGTGGAATCATCACTGCAAGGTATGCCTTGACACATACCACTTCGGGAACACTCAAAGCATAGGCCTGTCGAGCAAGCCGGTCTCGCATCTCTTCATAAATTTTATGCGCATCTTGATAACCAGGCCTGAGTGGCAGAGTTCGAAGAAGGTCTGAGTACACAATAAACTGAGTGTCCCGGCCATAAATAGATATGTTGGGCCCTAATGGATTTGCATGGCGGATGTCTGAGGGGCCAGGAGCTGCAGGCCAGTTGGGTAAAGGAACAAATTGATGATTTGCTGAGGCGCGCCTCGGGTGAACGGGACCTGGGATGAATGCAGGTGGAGGCATCCCACATGATACACTAAGCCCCACTGCACGAACAGGAAGTTGGGATTCTACAAAAATAACTGAAGGTTTGTATTCAATATAAAATGCAACTGTACTGGGCAACTCACTTCCACGCTGCGCCTCTGCAGTCTGCTTGTGAACTGCAGCACCATCATATTCAGACTGGCTGAAACCATGCTTCGAGGTATTTGGAATTACTAAAGAAAATTATTGTCAGACTGTAATGTGACAAAGTCTGCACGCCAAGCAATTATTTTACCTGCATCACTTATTTTCTTGGTAGTGAACTTGGAGCGCTGGTATCGGCTGCATTTTTCACAAAGCCATTTACCGGGCTTGCTCGGATCTTTGTGCTCAATATAGGTGATAGCAAGTACAGTGCCAGGATGACCACTAAAACAGTTGGCATACTCGCAATAGTGCTGGTCAGCATTTGTGGTGAACTCTGCAGCATACATGATGATGGTGGATTTTTTGGGGGGTTTGGATTTAAATTTCTGAACCGTCAGATTCAAATATTAGTGCTACTAGAGGCTCGTCGGAACAAGCAAGGGCCTTTGATATCACCATTTGATGCAAGTCTATGTGCGAGTGATGGATTTCTCATGTCAAATTTGCAAGGCAAGAAATCTTAGGCACCACGTCAATACAATGTCTTAACCTCATTCTGTACGCACAGCCACATTTATGAGTGTAGTCGGTAAATCCTTCATCGCGTTCAGTGGGTGATTGGGGGTCTGGCAGGAGAAGAGCCAAACAAATGCCTTTTTAGTCTAGCTGATCACTCTCGCCGAAGCTGATCACTCCCGCTTTCCATATGAACGAATCTAACTTTCGAACTTCTGCATAAGTGGTCATTACTGGTACGTCGTCCTTTCTGTTTGGTTTGCTTCAACCCCCCTCCCTATGATGCCCGGTGTAGGGATTCATTTCTGGTTGGGCTTGTAGAGACTGTTTTTACCTTACCTTATGTTGGCACTTTTGTAGCTTACATAATCAATCAATCTTTTCACCAGTTACCAGTATGAGTCTGAGTGCTCAGTAGTTTTCTATGATATTCCCTCTCCTCTGAGCCTTGAGCCTGGTCCAGAAACCCTTTAGGGTCGAATAGCAGCTAGGTTCTGCAAGACCCAACACATTGTTCAGACTCACCATCTGAATTGTTGTACCTTCAACTGGAGCCCACCGCGAGGGTTTCTTGTGTTTCTAGGCTCTTCCAGCTCTCCAATCATCCCCCAAATTCGCCTATTATCCCACCACAGTCATTCATTACCAGCTTCTCCCACAATTCCCACTTTTCAGCATCTTCTCCTCCTCCCCAGCGCATTGATAAGCGTTTTTCCCACGCGTTTTTCGAGCGGATCTCTCGCAAACTTAGGGTCGTATTCCCCTCGTCCGTCCGGTCATTTTGAGCTCTGGCTCATCGAAATTGGAGCAGTAGTTGTGGAGATATCGAGTTTTTGGTGTTTTTGAGAAGTTGAGGGGAGATAAGGGTTTTCTGGGTGCTCTAAGGCCTGTCTCATTTAGCTCTTTTGGCAATTTACCATCCACCAGTGGCTCTGTCCATTGCCACAATCAGCTTCTTGATAGGACCAGTCCTTGTTGCCCTGCACCATACCCCTTCCTCCTCCTCCCTCTTACACCTCCGCACTTTTCGCACTTTCACCAGCCCATTTCGTCTCAGAACCCCATCGACCCTATATCCGTTTTGAAGCCCTCGTTCATGGCTTTCATTCGCGCATATCCGCGCCTTCGCGCGCTCAGCCATTCGCTCGCTATTCGCATTTGCGCGTTCCCCCCTATTTTTTCGCTCCATTTTTGCGCTTTCTTTATATCTCGTCGCCCCGTGAGCGCGCGCCCATCGCCTTAGGCGCGTTCTGACCGCATTTTTCCGCGCTTTCCATCCATCCGATCAGATTTCCGATACGCCCGCCCGCGCCCTCGCTACTCGCTGTTTTCGCTATTTTCGCGCGTTGTCACCATTTCCTTCATATCTCCCTCAGTTCTTCACCAAACCTAGTCAACCCTATACTCATTTCGAAGCCCTCGTTCGCCTCTTTCTATCCGTCTACTCCCCATTGTCATCCATGCAACCATCATCGCGCATTTCTCACTTTAGCATCGCTGCTCCTCCAGTACTAAAAGCAAAGTCTGGGGATTATCGTTTTATTGCATTGCCTGACCCTCACTCACTGGCGCAGTTTACCTGGCATACGCGTCAAGGAAACAAAAGGTGTTTGAGGACCCCCAGGTTAGTTCTCTTAAGTTTAGCTTAGCTTTGGTTTGCATAGGTAGATGACTGGGGACAGTCATGATTTAAAGTTCCCATGAGATGTAGGGATTCATTTCTGGTTGGGCTTGTAGAGACTGTTTTTACCTTACCTTATGTTGGCACTTTTGTAGCTTACATAATCAATCAATCTTTTCACCAGTTACCAGTATGAGTCTGAGTGCTCAGTAGTTTTCTATGATATTTCCTCTCCTCTGAGCCTTGAGCCTGGTCCAGAAACCCTTTAGGGTCGAATAGCAGCTAGGTTCTGCAAGACCCAACATTGTTCAGACTCACCATCTGAATTGTTGTACCTTCACCGGTATGGCCCGTTACCGCCCTGAGGCTGAGTAGTGGAGTACCACTTCCCCTTCTGTCACATTCATGTTTTTGACGGTTGTTTTTGCTCACTTTCTATCTAGATTATGTAGCCTAGACCCAAATCAATGCTAATTTTTAACAAGTCAATTTTGAACTTCAGAACCCAGTGTGATTTTGAAGCCGTTCGAAGGCCTTGTCGTCATCTCCTACCACCCTCCTGCCTCCGCCGCCATCTTATGTCCACCATCCAGCTTCAATCCAGAGCCCAGTGTGATTTTGAAGCTGTTCGAAGGCCTGTTGTCTTCTCCTACCACCCTCCTGCCTCCGCCGCCATCCTACATCCCCTGTCCAGCCTCGATCCAGAATCCTGTGTGATTTTGAAGCCGTTCGAAGGCCTTTTGTCGTCTCCTACCACCCTCCTGCCTCTACCGCCTGAACTTTCAGGTGGTTTCAGAGCCGTTTGAAGGCCTAATATGCGCAACTTCATGTATTACTAGTATACTTATGACAATGTAAAAAAATGTTCTCTGATCACACCTCTGACATTGCTTTATTTACTTTGCGACTTTTTTCAGGTGAGTAATATGGAGGAGGATTAGATGGAGGAACGAGGAGAATTAAACTGTGGATTAGAGCTAAGTGAAGGGATAGCAAAGGAAATTTTCGAAACCATAGTAGTAGGGCGCCCATTGTAGTCAAGCATAGTAGTGTCCAAGTTGTGGCCAGTGCGAAGTGATTATGATAAAATATTTATCAAAGGAAGCTTCGAATTCTATGGGACAAAATTAAAGCCAAAGTTTAATGGAACCAATGAAGTAGTCAGTTGTCCAAGGGTTGTGGAATGGACGCGACAACGGATCATTAACATCCGGGTGACCACGCAAGATATCATTCCTTGTTGGTTCAACTGAAATGAGAGGGCGGAAGAGTGGTCGATTAGGTATGGACATTGCAGATGAATGATTCCGAGTCTGCAGGCCTGTGAAGACTTCTTGTAAGTCAACTTTCTGTTCTTCATCTTTAATTGAAGGCATCACAGTCAGAGAGCGTGGAGCGCATCTCTGAGTCTGCGGTGAGAGTTACATTCCCTTCAGACTAATGGGCAGCGTGTCAAGACCGTTATCTGAATCGGAATCGGAAGCGAAAACTGTAAAATTTTGAGTGTTAGACGTCCACTGAGCAGATAGAAAAAAGAACTCAAACTTGCGTTTAACGTGACTTGAAGAGCTTTCCTTGTTCTCCGAATTTATTCGAGATGTTGATGCGATGGGCTGACCACGAACTGGTTTATTTTTTTGATACAATGTAAGCGGTTTGTTCATGTAGCAAAATTACAAGATAGTACTTACTTCCGCGCAGTCTCTTTCGAGCTGGTTCTTCGTGTTCGGTGTACCGGATTGAGTGTTTTGGACGCGCTGAAGTGAAAAACGATTCAGTGACCGTGATGGTGCACGTGAGCACTTTCAAGTCCACCAACCAGTCTTTGGAGCATCTGAATCCTCAGGCTCATCATTTCGATCTTCTCCTGCCTCGGAATCTATATCAATGATGATCACGTCTGGGTCCCATTGTGCGCAAATGTGCTCAGGTATGTACTTCCGGTTAGCTGTTGCATGTAGGTCGGTTAGAAAATCTCATCCATGATGAGCCATTGATGGCAGGCTCACCGATAAAAATATTAGTCGCTGCAAGAGGTGCGTTATTTCTGCCTCTGTACCGCTCAAGATGTTTACCGTTCGGCAGTGGCTCAGGTGCAACACTCAGCCAGCGGTTTTCTTTCGAAATCAATGCCCACGATGCTCCGTTATCGACAGCCTTCCCCTTTACATCATCATTCTTTACGGAGTCCAGGTACTCAAAGACTTTTGGAAAAAGTCTCCGAAAATATTCTTCGACTTCTTCAAATGTCCAGTCCGGGCAAAAGCTGAAATCCACTTTATTGTCCTCAGGCTCGTCTTCGTCAAAGTGAGCACATCCCCTTCGCTTGAGTTTTGACATCTCTGTCTTCACAGGTGGGACCCTGCGCACCAATTGTCCTTTGTCCTTTCAGTTGCTGAGTAAGCTTCGAGTCGTAGCATCAGCTTGTTCAGGTCAACGTACATCGAGGTAATTGATCAAGACAGTGACAGTGCCAACTCTAATCTGGACCTGTTGTTGCTTCAATGAGCTGCTGGCCGTGGCCCATCTTGAAGATACAACCCTGCTCCCCTAAATGAAAGCTGAGTATGCTCGAGGTAACAAACATTAGGCGATTTTGCTCACTGTGACTTTCTGCTTTATAGTTGGGTGGAATCCTGCCATAACTTCACTTCTCGTGGCTGTGACTGTCTTCCGACTGTCAGTCGACACCTCACATTTGAGTTCTGAGCCTTGCCTAGCACGTTGGGCAAGTGATTGCTTGTATATCACCGTCACTCCAGATCGTTCCTTTGCTGTGGCAGCTGCTGGTTTGGATGGCTTCAGAGCACCTGGATTCAGTGCGGGAGGCACCAATGGCTCGGCCACTGATGCAGGCTGTTGAGGTCGAGGATGTTTGCTCTTCCCATGCAAACATTCGGTGCAAAGCTCTCTTTGGCCAACAGGAACATTGGTGGGTGCAGAGTACTCTTCGCAATAGCACATTTCTGGTTCGAGATGATTACCTTTGCAATACACCAGATCTGACATTGCGAGTCAGACAGAAGAGAGAACCGGATCAAAAACGGGTCGGTCAAGTGCGGGATTTATACACAGTGGGTTCCTGGCCATTGTAGTACTCCGACCATGATCCATTAATATATTGAATTAGAAAAATACATCTGCTTCAAAATGCTCTAGCACACTAACTGCCTGAGCCCATAGCATTGAATGAGTCCTCCAGATAGGGTCTGCCAAAGATACTTCAACATATATCTCCCTCCATCTACCGACTTGTAGATGTTCTGTTGTGTTTTCGTCATAGTCATCCTCACCCTCCTGCAAATTATATCCCACTGGTATGGTACCCTCAGTAATAACCTCGTCGAGTATCTCGAAGAATATATTTTCATCATCTTCATTCAGAAAAGGGGTATTACCATCAGGAACCTCAATGGCATCATGTTGGACATTGTTTGCTTGATCCTGCTCAATACGATGAATAACACCATCTTCCTCGTTCTCTAACTCATCATTTGGGTGGCCAGCACCTGTCTGATTGAGATGGCGGATTGTCTCTCTGCCATGAATACCATAATAGCGCTGCAGAGTTGCAGGATGGATCCCCTCGAACTCATCTTCATAGATGCCTAACAATGCCTGTCCTAGAAGATGCATATCCTTCATAGTTGTCAGATAGCAATTATGCCACTGCACCAGTAGTTGCTGAGTAAATACTGACCTGAGGGCTTCAATTATTGGTCTCAGAACCACGAATCGGATGGGAATTCCATTCTTGTTGAAATTGTTGGCAATCGTCATTGAGTGCACTTGAGAAGAGCACACTAAGCAACCAGATGTGCCCAGGTTTGTCAATGTCGAGCTTATGAAGTCGTTCGAGCCTGGTAAAAAATCCACGCCATCAGCGTGCAAACTGTGTGCCCACTTCAACCCACAGCCATTCAATGCGAGAATTTCGTGTTGATCTAGTATCATGTATTGTTAGTCACAGAATTTTTCAAGAGGCTACACTTACGATCCCCATAAAAATGAGCCACGATTGTGGCCATTTGTTGCAACTAAATGTGTAGCGACCTGAAGGTTCTCCCCTCCACGATCTCCACGAACACGAGACGGCATACCATATTCATCTCTTGCGTGCATGAACAGTTCCAATACAGTTGATGCACGATTGTTTGTGCTGGCCCGTAGCGCTGTTATCTGTTGAAATATCAGTGAGTTACTATGCTTTCCTTATCATTAACAATAAATTCACAGTGCGACAATACCCATCAATAAATCCATGGACAACAAAACCCCACCAAATGAGCTTGTGATGACCATCTACATGCCAAAGCGCATTTGGTCGAGCAACTCGGTATTTTCGTCATCTGGTAACATGTCGTTCTCTCAGCCTTTGTCCTAATCTATCAACTCGGCACAAGGACTGCCAAACACGGTGCTGCTGGACTCTAACTCCTTGGTGCCGAAGGAAGCCAACAAGGTAACGGAATCCTGATTCTGGTTTGCGTTCCTTGAAAACCTTCACAAGTTGATCGAGATCAGCATCACTAATTGTTGTGAAGCATTTTTCAAGACCATGTCGGCGAACAAATTTCCACACAGTCGTGCGAGACACTTGGAGGAGTCGGGCAAGCTCTGTGAGTGTGATGTGGCGCTGGTTAGACAGGGCTTCACGGACAAATTCAAGGTTGATATCTTTTCTTGGATGCCCTCGACGTCCATGACCTCGGTCCTCAGTCACAAGCTGTGGGATGATAATGTTCGACTGTTCAACATTTTCCCTACATAGACCAAAGTGACAGTATTGTCAGGTCAGCGGATCTAAATGAGTACCATGAGTATCACTCACACATGGGTGTTTTGGCTGATCTCCTCGAGCATTCCAGCTGCTTTGCCCACAAGACTAGCACATGCTAGTAGCCACTCATGAAGAAGCTGGTGATCAGCATCACTCGAATCACTTTCAATGGCCTCGAGTAAGGGTAGGGCCTCTGAAGACAGTGTATCGTAATGATATGCAACTCTGGTTGGTTCTGCATCATTTGACCGAAGCATTCTGATTGCACCATTGTAGATATTACGAACAATACCATCCGCAGTATGGATATTGTGTGGCCATGGATGTTCACGTTCCGGTAAAGCTGGAAGGTCCATACTAGTCCGCCAGCAGTTGCATTCTAGACGTGATGAAGCGAAAAAGAAGCAGCGAACCCTTGTGTGGTAAGCGTGACTTGTCTACCGCACCTCCCACTAGCTCATACTACATTTACATTCTTCAAGTTTGTGCTCTGAACTAAAGCCTCATAATATTCCCATCTCACAGATAATCAGCCAAGACATGTTTGAGGCTCGAACAGCCACATTACTAGCTCCAAGCCTCCTGAAGTTTCGACATCGTCGTTTTTATATATACGATGGTACTCACATTTTCCTGGTGCGGATTGTTCACATATATATGCACTCAGTGATTCCCCATGACAATACTAATAACTAAATGCAGGTCAAAAACACATTATTCAAAGTCCACGCGACTCAGTTATCGCGCACATCAATCACATTTGAGGAGATGTTTGCTGTCAGGGGGCAATCACGACCAACAGAGGGCACAGACGGCTCGAGCGACGATCACCCAATTATAATTCCTGAACTCAGCATGAACATGTTCGAGCTCTACCTTTCAGTTGCATATAACAGGTAAGATAAATTTTCATGTTAGTACACTGTCTTCTAATGCAGAATTGCACAGTTGGAAACCAGAAGGTCCTACCCATAGTGATGTTATTGACCTCCTACGGTTCAGCAACAAGTTCATGAGTCAAAAAACTCGTGATGTTGCCATTCATCACCTTCATGAACAACGATTTCGACACAAACCATATGACCTTCTCGCACTCTGTCTCGAATTCTCAATTATGAAGTTCTTTGTTCCCGCGTTTCAACGTCTCATTGAATTTCGCATCCGAGACATTCCAGGACCAATGTGAAAGAAGCTCGGGTTTGAAGTGTGGAATGCCCTTGTCGATGTGAAAGAGCTTCGCATTGTTGCCTGCGAGGAGCTGCCTCTTATTGAGCACACTGCGTGCTGCACCGACAACACTGCATGTTCCATTGACTGGCGACAACTCTGGTGGAACTCAATGGCCCGTTTCCTTCTTGATGGTCGCAACCCGCAAGCCTTCCATGAGGCCGTTGATCGTTTCCAGGAGCTGGGTTCTGAAATTGGGAGGGTGAACCCGGAGTGTTGGAAAATGCTGCTTCAAACAGTGAAGAAAGGAACAGCATTTCATCTCGCTTATGATCTCGTTGAGGAGACGGCTCAGCAGCTGTCGGCAGCTCTGATCACGGAGCCTGACCAAATGCTGACATGCGCAGAATTAGATGCTTTTTCATCAAATTAGTAGTCTTGTCGTGGAGAAACTTATAGATGACTACATAGTAGGCTATATAGCCCTGTACTACCTAAGTACTATGTGCATCATGTTGTCTTCAAATGTTGTGTGTATGTGTCGGTGCGTTGTCAGTGAGTGACTGTGTGTGCGTGTATCGTGTGTCTGTATGTGTATTTTATGTGTTGAATAGTTGAACGAATCCAGCGCCATAGAAATTTGAGGTCATACCGTCATATTTATCAATACAATGCCAGGGATCATAGAAAGCCATCTGTGCATACTCCTAGTTGAGGATCCGTGTTCCCACAGTTGTATCTGTACAGGCCCTTCTCTGTATCTTAATAGTAAATACAAGCGGAACCACGATGTCGAGGCTTCCTTTGATGTATGCACATAACCTTCGGCATTTCTTTCCATACATATATATCAGGATATCAGCCACTTCATCAGGAAAACATCGAGTTCCTTTTTGTCCCTTAACTTCCTTAAAAAATTGATCAAGGAGAATAAGGAGAATAAGGACTATTAAGGAGTGATTTCGTACTTAATTATACTTATTCTAAGGCACATGGTGGCTGCAAGTCAGCCTAAGGAGAATTAAGGAGAATTAAGGAGATTACTTGTGTGCCTGAACTTTCTTGAACACACCACTTTCTAGTATTTTGCTTATAACTCACTAGGATGTTAACCAAAAAATGTCATGAGACTATGGATAGACTACCCTTGACAAGGGTTACAACTTTGATTTTCTTCGAAAAAGTTCACATGGTCTACCATCGTCACTTATCAAAATCCTAATGGTAGACTTGTATTTTATTCTAAGTCCAATGGATATGGTATATATATCAATTGCTGCCTGCATATGTACAAGGTATTGTAGTCTACTGGTAAAGCTCCTTGACAGTCTGAGAATTGATCATGTGATCTCAGCTGGGTCAGCTGGATTGTTGAGAGTTCAAACCAGCTCTGTGGTAGAAAATAAAGTGCTCTTTTTGACATCACTTTGACTGCCTTAATTTCCTTATTCTAAGGAAGTTTCCTTAATTTAAGGAGAGGGACCTACTTATTCTCCTTATTTTAAGTGTGAAAAAACAGCCTTAATATTCCTTATTATGTGAATTAAGGCATATAAGGACAAATAAGGAGCAAATAAGGAACTCGACGTTTTCCTGATGTTACTACTAGGCTCACGGCTTGAAGCTTGAGGCCGGGCCGCGCACTCCAGATGTAGCCCAATTAATATAAGCAGGACGACAAAATTCAGCACGATGTGTACATTGGCCCAATCTGAAAAGCTGCAGTAGCTTGGCAGTGAGCCCGTTGCAAGTGTGTGCCAAAGGCATAATAATGTCGGAAAAAAGTTAGGTACCATTATAATACTGCTGGATTACAAGTTCAGCTCGGCACCTTGAGAGGGCCTTACAAGACATTTTAACAGGCCGTTCTGAGGCACGGCGAGGTAAAATTCAATGTAAGGTCATCAAAAGGGCCCTTATAAGTGCCTTTTAATGAGCATTAAAATATTATCTTACCCATTTACAGCTGTTTTAATATATGATGGCAGTGACATCATTTTTTTTGTCAACTACACGAATTAGGACTTAGAACAAATTTGACTGATCATATCAGTGCTTGACTCATACCCAATGCACAAATGTCTCATGCTCGCGACACAGAACAGTTTCGACAGTCTCGATGATGATACCAATAGCGACTTGCAAATGACACACCATCGCAATACTATTCTTGATGCTCTCGATGAGCTAGAACTCATGGAAGTCGACAATGATCCCAATGCTGATCAAACAGATACCGACGATGACAAATCACAAGAACTCGAAATACTAGACTCTGCTACAGGCCCTGTTGTACCACCAAAGATTCCTACCCCCCCTCCGACAGTGTCAAAGAAATGAAAATGAGGTAAGTCGACGCATATAGTCAGTGTTTTGTGCTGACTCGGATCCCTAACAGATAAGAATGACGAACCTACTACTCCTGTCACAAGGGATATCTCATACATGGTCTCTATCCTCTCGGCTAGTGAAATGAAGAAGGCCAAGAGCAAACGAGAGCCAGTCAACACATCCATCGACCTTCGCACTGATGAACCATGGGACACTCTCAAAGCACAGATTCTTGTGAAGATCTCAACAGCAATCAATCCCCGCATGCTCCATTTTGACGACTACTCACTTACCTATCACATCTCTTGGGTTCTACCTAAACCTGGCCTATCTCTCTTGACTGAGGCTGACTACAATGGTATGATGAAACAGGTCGACGGAATGGCTGCGAAGGCTCCAACTGTCAACATCAATGTTATCCAAACACAGCCAGCTAGCAACAACAATGAAAACCAGGGCGAGGATGAATCAGAGCTTGCAAAGTCCAAGATGAAGAAACAAGTATGTATTCAATAACCTTATAGATAATTATTTCACGATTTTTGCACAGAAAGAGTCAGCTGCGATTCTTCCAGGAAACAAAAAGAAAGTAGCAAACATTCAGCTTTTACAAGATCACTGGATCTGCAAAAAGACTGATTCTGCCTGTGCATCAACCCATTGTTATGTGATTCCTGGATCTGAAGAACACTTTCCGCTCGGACATCAGCAGCTCGACTGCTGGGCTTCTGCAATGGTTGATATTTCCTCTCTGGTGTTTCATGTGTAGTTGTGATACTGATTTTGAGCAGTGTAAGGAGGCGAGCAATGCAACAATTAATAAGCCCCCAAACTACTGACTCTTCAATCCGAAGGCCATCAGCCCAGTCTTACAGTGCCGACTCGATGCACAGGCCAAGACAGTGACAGAACCCACATCTTCAACTCCTGTTGTCAACATCACATTCGGCAATGAGTTTGCAAGTCTTTTCAAGTCGAGCCACACAGCTCTGAACACAACAACCTCAGGAATTGGGCCAGTGCCAATCTCCACATCTTCGCTCATTCCCCCATTGCGCAAGCCTGGCAATGACATGTCCATTGTGGCCTTCTGTGCCCTGTACCAGCTTGACGACAGCATCACTACAAAATTTGCTTCTCATTCATTCAAGGAAGCGCACTTACTCCGTTATGTGACCTTTTCAGACCTCAAGGAGATGGAGTTCAAGTTTGGTGAGATAGCTGCATTACGTGATGCTGTTGAGAGGTGGTCTATTCCTACTAGTATGGCATGATTGGACATTATATTGTATGATAAGAACTGTTACTCGAGTTGCTTTCAATGCTGCAAGTCGTTGTTCTGTAACCTAGCATCAAAAGTATCCAGCATGTACAAAATAACCATGGGCATCATCCAGTGTAATGATATCAGCAATCTCGTACATATCATAAAGGATTCCATCATCTGTGGTTGTACTATAGTATTCGTGGTGACGACGAAGGAAATGCTTGATCTTCGAAAATGCTTCTTCAATGGGATTGAGATCGGGGGAGTATGGCGAAAGGAATTCAATGCGAACACCTGGTATATGCATCCCATCATGATAATCATTGTAGGAACGAGAGGAAATCACAAATAGACTGACCAAAACGGTCTGCAAGTTCAAGAACATCGGCACCATGGTGAATTGAAGCATTGTCCATCACAAGGACACTCAACGGGCCTGGATATGCAGAGCACTTCGGTAACTAGAAGGTTATCAGACTCGTCAGATGTCCAAGAATGTAGCTTGATAACTCACAACAGTAAATTCCAGCCACTCGAGAAAGAGCTCTTTCATCATAGAACCCTCGACAGCAGTGCATGCGACAATGCCATCAAGAGTCAACAGTGCTTCCAAGCTGACACGATGCCCACGGACAAAGGGTTGATGTACATGTGCCCGTTTTCCTCTCGATGAGTGCCCATAATGCCGTCCGAGTGTCTGCTCGTCTTTTGAGACTTTGTCAATGAACCCTATTTCTGTAGCATCATATTGAGACATGCGAGCTACAAATGCAGCACGGAGTTCTTCATTGCGTTCCGAAGCGATACATTTGAGTTTCTTTCGGCTCATACCAGCACGTTCGAGTTCATTGAAGACAGTGGTGAAATGAATAGATATGAAGCGGTTGGTTCTCGTGAGGCTGACGAGCTCATCAAGGAAGTAGTCGGGGTTGTCATGAACAAGTTCTAGGAGATATTCAATGTCTTTGCATTCCAGACGACGCACGCGGCCATGAACTCCTCTCGGGTGATTGGTGACATCACCAGTGTCTCTCCACAGCCTCAAGACATGGTACCACGTCCGTTGTGAGAACCCGCAGCAGTCAAGAATGTCCTGGAGGTTCAGTAGGTTGTGTTCATAAAGACAGATGGCTGCTCGTTTGACATCTTCACTGATCTTGCAGAATGCCATGATGTGGCAGAGGCTATTCACTACTAAATCATATTTTGTGTAATTTACAAAAAAAATGACGCCACTGCCATCATATATTAAAACAGCTGTAAAAGCCCTTATAAGGACACCCACCAAATAGAGCATTAAAATGTCTTGCAAGGCCTTAAAACCCTGGGAACTTTTTTCCGACAATTATAGTGTCATAATGACATGAGCGCCTGATAAGACAAAGTGTGCCCTGTTTTGTACTTAATTTGTACCCCGGCTGAATTGTGTCGGAGACTCGGAGTAGTAACAGGGCACCGCACACACGACAAATTAGCGCTGTGAAATATAATAAAAACGGGAGCTGTGTAGCGTAAAGCTCCACAAGGCCCATCAAAAAGTACCTACAGAAAGTCCACCCCGGCGCTTAGTCGTGCTCACCATTAACCTTGAACTAAATGGTGGATATAGCTCAATCCATCATCCAAATGACCACGCCAGTTCGAGTGGCTGCAGCTCACGAACACACTATATATGCAATTGCAGTCTTTCCCGATGGGCGACGTGTAGTAACAGCCTTGGGAGATAATACACTTCGTCTGTGGGACCTGAAAGACGATGGTGTGGTGAAGAAAATGGAAGGTCATCGCGGCTGGGTGTGGGCAGTTGCGGTATCACGAGACGAAAGATTTGTAGCAAGCGGTGATCACAACGGAGAACTCATTATCTGGAACGTCGACACTGGTGAATCACTCACCCAAATCATCAAAGCCCATTCCGCAGCAATCTACTCGCTGGACTTTTCTCAAGATGGAAACGCACTGGCAACTGGTTCAGTAGACAAAATTACAAAGGTGTGGAGTACCAAATCGTGGAAGCAGCAAGGAAATCCAATCGATTGCGGTGATTATGTCCAATGTATTCGGTATTCGCCGTCTGGAGAACATCTTGCCATTGCAACATCTGGGGATGTCCAAATATGGAATCCGAACAGCAAGGAACAACTCAAAACCTTCAAGGCTCACACTGCGTTCAATTCAGCATGGAATTACTCGCTTTCATGGGCGCCTGATGGCAGACGGTTGCTCACAGCGGGCTCCTATCTAGATCCCACTATACGGGAGTGGAATACGTCAACGTGGGAAGAGGTTGGTCATCCATGCAGGCCCGGCAATAGTACTAAGGGCATCAATACCCTTGCTGTGAACCCCACTGGCACCCTTGTCGCCTCCACGTCTTATGATTGCCATGTCCACCTCTGGCGACTGTCGGATCGGCGAATTATCGCCTCATTCAAGCACTCTCACACAGTATGCTGTGTCACCTTCTCCACCGATGGCAAGTACATCCTCAGTGGAGGTTTTGATAAAAAGATTTCACAGTGGGCAGTGCCCTCGTATGATTCCAAGGCATGTTTTGATTCTTCACTCTTGATAACGTAAAAACCATATTTTCTGCAGATCCTCGATATGGACCCAATAACCCGCAATGCATGCATAACTGGGGACTTGGATACTGCTGAAGCACGGCTAACACGACGGATTGATGATGACAATAGCGACCACAACGCGTATGCCAATCGCTCATTTGTTAGGGCGCGAAAAGATGACTGGGACGGTGCACTCCATGATGCACTGAAGGTGAGATACGTTGTTGGACGCCCACCATTAAATTGACTAAACTATGGTAATTTAGTCCATTGCGATGCCCTCCTTGACAGGCTATCTCTCCAGCGCTATCGCACTTTGCGGAAATCAGCGGATTCAGGATGCAATGAAAGAATTTAACCTTGCGACCATGTTCACGGATGGACATTCGAAGACCATTCTTCTCTTGATAAAGGCAGGCCAAATCTTTCTCCCACATTCCTGATTCATCACGGTTTTCAGGCCATTGCACTGTTCAACACAAAGCAGCAGCATTGCGAAGCAATACCCCACATTCAACGGCCTTCGGACGCTTCTCCGAATACTGATAGTCTTGTTTGCAGTATTGTGGAAGTAAGTATCACCAACTCACTTCTGGGTTGATACTCATTACAACTTTACATAAGGTTTATCTAGACAACTTGGGTGGCATGTGTTGTAACGGACTTGGAGGTGCGGGGGACTTCACTGCCGCTGTCAACACCATTGCTGGATCATCCGAATCCGCCATTTGTTCTGAATATGAGGATTTTAATGTGGTGCGAGATGTGATGCAAAAATACTGTCATCGCCTAACTTCATGATCTATGTAGCTCTTCGGATGCGATCTCAAGTTAATGTGGCAAAATGCAAGCCAGATACGATGCGATGCATTCCTCCAGGCAGGTGGGATTAGAGAAGCCCTCGAATCATACCGACATATGATGGATATGAGTGGTGAAGCTACGAAGGCTAACTGCCTTGCTTGGTCCACTAGCAAGTCTTTATCAATGTCATCGGGCCCAACTCTCACCTGAATTTTCACTCAGCATTCAAGCAAGCCTGCAGAGAGCATTATACTGCCAAAGGATTTACTGACATAGTCGCAAGTGGAGATGCCGCATTGAAGGCGGGTAATTATGAAGAGGCTATCGAGCTATATTCAGCGGCAATCAACCTGGGTTCAGCCAGTGACACCATCTTCGCAAACCGAAGTAAGGCAAAGTTGGAACAAAGGCTATGGGAAGATGCACTTCTCGATGCACAACAGGTACAATGGCATCTATTATTCCGTAATTGACGTTTTCATTTTGGTGATAGGTCATTAAACTTAGCCCTTACAATTATCTCGGATACGAAATGAAGCATGCAGTGCTTCGTGCCGCACAGTACTACGATGACGCTATCGAAGCCTTCCAAGTGATGCTCTCGATGTTGGATGTTTCTCTCGACAAACGACAAGAAGGTAAGCCATGAACAACACATCCTAAAGATGCTTGACCCTGTGTTCAGATTTGTCTCTGGAGTATGCCTCTCGATCCCGCATAGAAGTAGAAATCCAAAAAATTATTTCTGATCGCATGCAACACATCCCGATTCGCATACTTGACACTTCCACCGGTCGCTTATATGATCAAAAGACACGACAGGAGGCCTTCAAGACGAGTGTGGAGTACAAGGAACTTTTATCATCAATAACGAAGCTCACAGACCTCCAAACGGAGCGCATCGAAGAGGTGGTGGTGAAGTACTTTGGTTATGTCATGTTATCACATAAGTGGGAAGGGAAGGAGCCGCTACTGTGCGACATCCAGGGCAAGAGTGTGTACGAGTTGGAGTCAGTCGGCAGCGTCAGGAAGTTGCAGCGGTTCTGCGAAACTGCTCGTGATGCTGGCTACCGCTGGGCATGGAGCGATACATGCTGCATAAACAAGGTAGACAATGATGAGCTCCCAGAATCCATCACATCCATGTTTCGCTGGTACCATCACTCAGCCCTCACAATTGTCTACCTATCTGACGTCTCACCTTCATCGGGATCTGGCGCACTCGTCAACAGCATTTGGATCACCCGAGGATGGACACTCCAAGAATTCCTGGCTCCCAACATCATTCTCTTCTACCGAAATGATTGGACCCCGTATCTTGATAATCCTTCTGACAACCACAAGGAGTTTATCATGCAAGAGTTGAAAGATGATATGGGCATAGATTCGCGGATTCATGCCACCTTCTCTCCTGGGACAGATGATCCCCGCGAGAAACTCGTATGGGCATCAAAGCACGTCACCGAGAAGCCGGAAGACATTGCATATTCGTTATTTGGCGTCTTTGGCGTCTACTCAAGCATAATGTATGGCGAGGGCAAACAGAGTGCGCTCGGGCGGCTCTTGGGGGGGATTGTTGCCAAGTCACGTGACATCGGCGTCCTGGACTGGGTTGGCAAATCATCCGAATTCAATAGCTGTCTCCCAGCCGATATTACGTCGTATGGATTGACATCCTTGTTGCCATGCTCATCCAAAGATGACATCCGGGCATCGATCTCGTCGCTACAAGTTGCTGAGGAAGAGGGGATGGCTTTAAACTTATATAACAAACTTCATGAGGCAGACCCCGTCGACTTCTCAAACCAGCGGTTATATCTGCCTTGCATCAAGTTCCGTCTCACCAATATCCAGCGGAGGCACGATCAAGATGAAGAAAGATATTTCACATATGACTTGAGGGCAAAGGGGCTTCGTGACTTGCTCATCATCACAGACAAAGAACTCATGTACTCGCAAAAAACTAAATTCTTCCTCGTCCGTCCCTGGGACTGTCGTCTCCTCGAACTGCTTGACCATTCGAGCGATACGGAGAGCATCGACAATCTATCCTGTTCCCCATCCCCATCAGATTCACATGGCGGGTTCCCTGGAGATGACGAGTCGCTTGGTTCGGAATCGGGCGAACAAGCGTTACAATTGATTGCTCACCTCAAACAGCCTTTCAGGGCATTTTTGCTAATGCACAAACGCGCCAAAGAATACACGAGAATCGTACCAGAATATGATATCATTGCACAAGTCGAAGAAACGACTTCTATCCAAAACATGACGAAATGGGTCAAGAGAGTAGAAGTGGTGTAGCTTTGAAGAGTAGAGGAATTTTCAGATACCCTTTCCATGCTGCTATAGACGCTCCTCCCGGCTTTGACGAGTGAACTCTCAGCAGTCTGACAAAGGAGAAATGCGTATGCATGCACGTTCATGATACGATACATGCGCTAACGATGTGCTCAGGTGCAAATAAAAGCCTCCCGCATCAAGGAAATCACTTTTAGCATGGAATGCGAGATAACTTTATTTCACGCCGAGCCCGCTCGTTCGCTGACAACGTCGCCTCACAACAGCTCTACAAATTTATAGATATTACCCACCCAGTCACAGGCAAGCACAACAGCACACTCATCCTGGCGCACGTCAAGTACTTCCACGTGCGCAAGTGCAGGAGGCGGCGAAGATACAGGAGGCATTGACGACTCACGCACCACCATGAAGTAGAACGAAGGAGTCATTTTTTAGTAACACATACCATAGATAATATCGATCATAGATAAGACGGGGCAATCAATATTAGCATCTACGCGCGATCGACGGTTTCCTGTCCCCGAAATGTAGACCTTCCTTACACGTCGTTCGGCTTCAAGAATAGACAAACAATTAGGACCCTGACAATATGTGGCACCTGTCATTGCACTTGATTTGTAGTAGCCATGAGATTATTACCACGAGACGATTTATACGGATCATCTTAGTCGAGGGAGGGGAGCCAGTACATCTCGCTCTGAAAGGTCGTGGATGCAGCGTAAAATACAGCTCCCGTGCTTGATTTTATAAAGCACAAGTTGGGTGTGGAGGGTTGAGATTCCATAGTGGAAGAGCGACACTAGTCAATGTTGAGTATGACTTGCAGGGGAGCTTGTGGGTATCTTGATTCAAGTTTCAGAGGTGCGTGTACCGGGCCTTTTTATGCCGCTCCACAGCCTCAACCTGGTATTTTCGTAAACCGAGACGACGACTTAAGCTTGGAACTATGACATAGTAGATTGTCGAGCGCATGTGGTGCTTGACCGATTTGGAGTCCGAGTGGAGCACAAACAGGATGACAGCTACATAGGTGCACTGCCCGTGACAGCGCCTACTAGACACTTGTCCAAAAAAAGTACTTCCTGTCGTTTATCGCAGCAAGCAATGTCCAGCTAGAGGTCGTCGAGCATTCCGACTGTTAGTAGGAATGGTACCATCTTGCGCGTGCTTATCAGATAGCGTAGTAAGCGAAGCAGTCAATGTCATCCCGATCCATCTGTTATCAGCCTCGTATGTGTGAAGACAAATGATGAGAAATAACGACGGACTTGATCCCGCCTGGATGCCTACCGCCGGAAGTTGCCGAAATAACACTCATCACAACCGCCACCTCAGTTCACCAGCGCCAACAACCACCAAGTCCCCGTCGTCCAATACACTCGTTCGCGGCCCTATGCTCGTCATCGTCACCCTACTCGCAACCGAGCCATCGGAAATTGTCAAAACATAGACGGCCTCTCGTTATCCTGTCAAAACCATACCCATTCATACCTCCAGCTCGCTCATCTTTCGTATTCCTTCGCTCTATCTCTACTCTACCTTCTCGGACGCGACGCTCCTTCCTTCAGCATCCGTTCTTCGCATTACTTTCTGCCTAGCCATCAAAAAGGACCCTTACAGTCTCCAGTAGTAGCCATGTGCAGTCTCTACCAAGAATCAATAATACCAGTATCCTAGTCCCGTTCTCGCCTCCGATATCGGCAGTATCTCATTATTTGACCTATCTTTCAGAACTGCCTTCCTTGTCATACTACTCTCCTTCGCGACTCTCTGACCTTGTAGCGCAAATCTCTCACAAGCGATCTACACGCTCCTTCGCACTCAGTCCTTTGCAGGTTCTTACAATGCTGATCTCTATATGGTCTATGGTATATGCCACCAAGCCACCCTCCGTTCTATTTTATGGTGGTGCGAGAGTCTTCGCTTCCTCCTGCGCCCATGATGAAACCGATTCTGTATGTACCTCCAACCCGAGAATACGAGATGTCGCCCACACGCGAGAGGCTTGAACTTTGTGAGGTCGATGGCACCTGCCTGTGAGCAAGGACATTCCATGGGGATTGCTCGTCTCGTATGTCAGATTCACACTTGAATTTTTTATTGATATAAATATAATAGCACCCAAAATGCATGCCGCTACAGTATCTCTAGCGTCTTGATCATGTCCGGAATAGAAGAAAGATCTTTGACTTGTGCAATAATATCATGATCTGACGCGATCCTCTTGTATTCTCCGCCGCGCTGATGCGCTAGTAAAAACGCGCTAAAAGGCTGTTTGAGATGAACAATCAATCGCAAGGCTCGATCGCTAAGTTCCGAATCGACCGACTCCTCTGCTTCAGGGAACTCGCTGGACGAATTCTGTAATGGAGAGCCGGGCGCAGACGAATACTCTTCTTCGCTGTCCGTGTCGTCAGCAACGTCAGGAAGCCCTGCCAAGCCCGATGGCTCTGCGAACTCAGGAAGCTCGAGCAGATAACGATTCCATGGACGAACAAGCAAGAATGTCTGCATAGTGGGTCGTGGTGATGAGAATTGATTCAACTTGTCCTTCGTGGTGATCAGTAGGTCATCAAGCCCGTCGGCCTTGACTTCATATATCTCTTGGTCTTCGGTGTGACTCCGTTTGACTGCTGTGACCCGAAATGCGATGCAAGGCAGATGCAGTCTGCAGTTCCCGAAACGAGGCGCGTTCAGGTCGTCAAGCAGGGTGTAAATGTTTAGAGCCAAATCTACAGCCATGACTTGTCGGAGAGAGGAGATTGATCTCTGAATCTCGTCTTCAGACAGACATGGCAGGGTGTACGGTGGTGCTTTGTATGAAGTTATGTCGGCCGGCAGACAGCTATTGAATTCGGATGATTGCCCCACCCAGTCCAGGGCACTGATGTCGCCCGACTGAGCTACGACCTCCTGCAAGAGCCTCCCTAGCGCCTTTTGTTTCTTCTCCCCATAAATGACAGCCAGGTTGACGCCAAAGATACCAAACAATGAGTATGCGATATCTTCTGGCCACGTGGTGACACGCGTTGACACCCATTGGAGTTTCTCCCGGGCGTCTCTCATCCCCGGACGGAAGGCGACAAGGGCTTGTGCATTGATGCCCGTCGCATTTCCCATCTCTTGCATGATTGCAAGGGAATCCTTGTGGTTGGGAGAACGATCACCGAGATATAAGGACCAATCCTTCTGATAGAATAAGATAAATATTGGGGACAAGAATTCTTGAACAGTCCATCCTCGCGTGTTCCAAACACTACTTGCGAGTACTCCAGGCTGCGATGAAGGTGCAACATCCGACAGGTAGACGATGGTGAGTGCTGAGTGGCGATACCAGACAAACATGGAGTTGACCGATTGTTGGACCTCGACGTTGTTAGTCTGGTCAATGCAACAGGTATCGATCCAGGCCCAGCGATACCCTTTATCACGAGCAGTTTTGCAGAAAGACTGCAACTTCGCGATGCCGCCAACTGGATCTAAGTCGTACACCACCTTGTCCTGGATGTCATGCAGCGACGGCTCCTTCCCTTCCCACCTGTGCGAGAGCATGACATAACGAAAGTATACCGCCACCACGTCTTGGATGCGCTGTATTGGAAGATCTACATACTTCATGGTGGATGACAAAAGCTCCTTGTACTCCGTGCTCGCTTTGAAGGCATTGATCTGTGTCTCTCTATTGCATAAGCGCCCTGTGGAGGTGTCGATTAGACGATGCGGGGTATCGTCGAGCTGAGCGTTAATGCTCTCTTCAATAGCACGTTCTGCTTCGGATGGAATACCATACTGATGTCGCAAGTCTGGACAAGGAGTCAACAATATTTAGAGGATGTGCTATTTGAGGCGTACCTTGGGTTTGCGTGTCGGAAGCATTTTCCAACTTGGATATCATGATTTTGAACGCCTCGATGGCTTCATCATATCTGTGTGCGCCATGAAGTACCGAATGCTTCAGCTGATATCCGGAGTAAGATGAGGGGTTGAGTTCGATGACCTGCATACCACTAAAATGAGTATCGAATACGAAAACAGTAACTGTTATCGCACCTTGTTCGCATCGAGAAGTGCGTCCTCCCACAACATTTTTCCCGACCTTGCCTTACCGCGGTTCGCAAAGGTTGTATCTGTTGCCAGACCGAGGTCGATCGCTGCAGAGTAAAGCTCGATGGCCCTATCGTAATTACCCACAGCGAGGGCAACATCCCCGCTCTCAATGATATCAGGCACTCCGGCGGCAGCATAGAGCACGCTGCAATCCTGCTTGAAAGCTAAGTGAAATAAGGATCAGAATTATTCCTGGTTTACATCAAGAAGACTCGCCAGTGGACCAATCAAGGTAGCTTGCTTTCATAGCCTCATCAGCCCTATCCATTATGTACCGGTATGCTTTGATGGCTTCTGGAAGTCTACCTGTCCGAAGGAGCGCATCACACCAATTCTGGTGTGCAGTTCGCCACAAAGATTGGAGGTCCCATCCGAATAACTAGAAAAAGCAATGGGGCGTTAAAAATTCCCAGTTGAATTGTAATCAACCCACCACCAGGAAGACATCATATCTAGAGTGGATGACCGACATAGACGAGAAATCGATAGCGTCGACGGCAGCAGTAAAGTGGTCAGCTGATTCGTTGTGACGTGTGTCGTCTAATGCATTCATTCCCAGTCGGACGTGTAGATAAGCCTGGAGTGCGAGGTTTGCGAAATCAGCACTGATGCATGAATATGGAGTCAACTTCGTCAGTAGCACTCACTTCTACGATACCGCAGGCAAGAGAATTTGGATTGGGACGAGTCTTAGCTAGCTCTTGAACGCGCAGAATCGCCTCGTCGTATTGATTTGCATTGAAAAGAGCGATGGCCTGACGGTTATCGTGTGAGTAGCGAATACACGAGACACGATTGACATACCTTGATCAAGAGTAGAAGACGAGTTTTATTCAAGTCTGCATCCACGTACATGAACGCGATGTCAAATGCTTTCATCGCGTCTTGAAACTGGTTTTTTCCACAGTGGGCGATGCCCTTGGATATACATCCCATCAAGGATGGCTTAATAC